TAGATAGAATTAGATATATATTATATAAGAATTTAAAAGCATGGGCTTAAAATTACAGTTAGTACTAAATTAAAAAAGTAGACTTCCTAGATATAACTTTAGATCTAAATAAACATACATACACACCTTATAAAAAACCCAACACCAATCCTTTATATATACACCCTAAATCAAATCACCCCCATCTATAATTAAACATATACCGTTATCTATCAGTAAACGAATTAGTACAAATTCAGCAAGTGACAAGATTTTTGATGAGCATATCAATTCCTATAATAAGGCTCGAAATGATAGTGGCTACAAAAACCCAAAACTAACTTATATAAAAAATGAAAATGGAAAGCATAGAAAAAACAGATGTAGAAAGATTATTTGGTATACTCCCCCATATAACCAAATGGTAAAGAACAGATTAGGACATAAATTCCCTCGCATTAATAGTCAAGCATTTTCCTAGTGAAAGTAAACTAAGTACTATTTTCAATAAAAAACACACTAAAATTAAGTTATAGCTGTACAAAAAACTTAGAAAAAAACATTAAGAACCATAATGCTAATATCTTAAATAAACACTTATACCAAAACCAAAAAAAAGTTTAGACAATGGAAAAATTAAGATAAAACTGATGGAAATAAACAAAACTATGTAACTGTAGAAACCCTCAAAATTGCCCACTACAAAATAAATGTCGCACTGAATCATTAGTATACCAATGCAATATCTCTTCGATTGAAAGTCCTGATAACATAAATATATATATATAGGTTGCACTAGCCATGAATTCAAAAAAAGATTCAACTAACATCAAACTTCATTTAGAATAAATAGATATAAAAATCAAACATCTCTCTCAAAATATTTCTGGCATCTAAAAGAATCAAATAAAACACCTACAGTAAAATGGAAGTTAATAAGAAAAGCTAGAATTTGTAGATCATTAAACGACCCGTGTCCTCTATGCATACAAGAGAAACTATATATTACTAAGTTTATAAAAAATAAAAATTTACTGAATCAGAGAAATGAAATAGCTATCATATGCCGTCATTGTCAAAAATTTTCCTTAAATAATATATAAATAAAAAAAAAGTCTATTGGAATGGCAGTGAAAATATTTTAAACTTGTATTTAAAATTTTAAAATTTAAAATTGTAGTTAAAACGTATTCAAACATAAGCATCTTTTAAAAATTGTAGTTAAATAAAATGTATGCTAACCGAAACACCTCTATAATAAATGTACTACAGGCACTTGAATGAATCCAATAAAACACCTACTGAAACATGGAATTATAACAAAAGCTAGATGATGTAGGGTAATGTATGACCCATTGTTCTTTGTACATACATATGAAACTTTATTACTCAGGTTACATATATTTAAAATAAATACATTAATTAATTAATACATAAAGTTTACTAAATCTGAGAAATGACTTAGATAGTTTTGTAGTCTGTGCCATTTATATTACTTAAATAATATTTAAATATAAAAGTTTAAAAATTGTAATTTACATATACTTTGATATGGAAAAATAATTTTACTTACTATGAGTAATTTCCTTCTGTTATAAAGTAATATAGTCTATTAAAACTAACAATGAAAATATTTTAAAATTTTAAAGTTGTAATTTTAAAATTGTAATTAAAATTGTAGTTAAATAAATGAATTCTAACCTGTTCTTTGTACATACATATGAAACTTTATTACTTAGGTTACATATATTTGAAATAAATAAATAAATTAATTAATTAATTAATAAAGTTTACTAAATCTGAGAAATTGACTTAGCTAGTTTTGTAGTAAGTGCCATTAATATTACTTAAATAATATTTAAATTTAATAGTTTAAAAATTGTAATTTACATATACTTTGATATGGAAAAATAATTTTACTTACTATGAGTAATTTTCCTTCTGTTATAAAGTAATATAGTCTATTAAAACTAACAATGAAAATATTTTAAAATTTTAAAGTTGTAATTTTGAAATTGTAATTAAAATTGTAGTTAAATTGAATGAATTCTAACCTAAATTTCTTTTAAATAATACTACACGCACTAAAAAGAATCCAAAAAAAACACCTATAGTAAAATAAAATTAATATGAAATGCCATAAGATGTAAGCTTTTGAATGACCCATGTCCTTTGTACTTACATGAGAAACATTATATTACTAGGTTTATATATAAAATAAAAGTTTACTAAATCAGTGAAATTAAGTAACCATTTTTGCCGTCATAGTCATAAATTTAAAAAAAAAAAAAAAATGTAACCTCATATACATACTTAAACTTGATGTTAAAATAATCCTACATAATATAATGGATTCTAATACATTTAACTGTTCTTAAAAAGAATATAGTATAATAAAAATTAAAAAGGAGAATATTTCAAATCGTAGTTAAATAAAAAGTATTATGATCAAAAACCCCCGAAAATCTTTAAATTTATAAAAAAAAAAAAATGACGTTGAAATTTTTTTACCGTTAACAATAATTTTTTTTTTTTTTTTTTTTAAATCCAGACGACATCCATTCAACTGATGTCAGGTTTCATTGTAAAATACATCCCTACCCCTTACCAAATTGTAGCTAATAACTGATACAATGATACTGACATAAGGAAAATCTAGACATCCCGTGTTCAATTTAAGTAGAATATTCTGTAACCATGGAAACGTGATTTTAGCTGTGTCTTTAAAACCCGGTAATTTTTGAAAGTTACTCCAAAATTCGCTTGAAGATGAAATGGAACTAATGCTTTTAATTTAATTGCAAAATTAAATTCGGGGTTTTTAGCTTCTATTTTTGAAACATGGTTGGAACTGTGTAGCGAAAAAAAAACATATTTTAAATCAATTAATTTATAATATATATATATATATAGCAATCTACAGATACTTTGTTATCATTGTTGGGTTGCTTATAGAATCGATATTCGATTTCAAGAAAGCATTCTATTTGTTAATAAATCGATATTTTAATGTTCTGAAGACTAAATATATATCGAAATATCCCTAAAACTATCCCCAATAAATTATTTTCTTCATTGTCTTCATTCAAACTGAAACTGAATTTCATCATGACCAACGGATGGTTTAAAATATATATTTAATTTTTCCTCAAAAATCATTTTCCATTTGAATAATTGCATCGAAATAAAAAAAGTTATAGCCATCGACTTATAAATGTTAGCATTCATTTTTTTTTTAAAAAGCTTCCTTCGGTGGGATTTAAGCCATTAACTTTGTGGATATGACAAGCAGACTTACACTTATTTAAATATCGAATAATTCTATAAATATTATCGTATCCTGTCTACTATTTTGTCTATTAGTTATCGGAAGATAGAAAATGAACAAAGAACAAGATGAACATCGAGTATCTGCTTTAAATTCCATAAAAATGTTCTGAATATTGCGTAACACTTAAAAGATTAGGCAATGGTAAACATGAACATTGAAACTCAAATTGCAAATCAAATTTTGTTTACTTGACTTCAAATCATGAGACGGATCTCAATGCAGTTTTTATTTAGACGCTTTCAGTGTTTGAGACTATATTGTGTAGATTAAATTCTCAATTTCGATTCTAGAATACAAAGATGTTTTGACAAAGTTTAATAATTTAATATAAAAGATAGAATATATAACTGCGATCTATCAATATTAGAAACATTTAAAAATATCCTTATAATGAAGATAGTCTTCCCTGGCCTCGTAAATAAAATGAACACTATAAGATACAAAAGAAACTAATGTTGTAAAAACCAACATAAATACTATATGTGATCATTTAAATCGAAAATATTCCCTGGATCATGATAATATTCTATCGAATAATTCATATAAAATACATGAAAAAATAATGTGAAAGTACAGCCTACATATGACAGAATGTAGGATCAAGGTAGCGAATTGTATGTATTAGTACTCGTGCTTTGACATGGGACATTAAAATTTCTCAGATCTCATTACACGCAATATGATCTTTATTATTGTTGTTTCTATATTTGTTGCTTTTAACCTAGTTTTACATCCTTTTCCATTCTTCTTATCTTTATGATTACAATAAAATATTAGCTTGTCAGCACACATTATATGTTAGTAACAGCAATCTTTGTTGCATTCATTTCATTTTTCTTTATTTAATTTGTTTTCGTCACGTTAAAGTAAGAAATTATTATTAAGAGATGAGAGTATTTAGTATTTAGTTACATGAATGTCGACAGAACTGCAATTCATTAGCATTATTTTTGTACTGGTTACCTTTTTCTGATACTTTTTTTATTGGCGATCAAGTAACAGGAAATCAATACTCAAGTATTCCTCGTCATTATTCGAGGTTATTTTGCCAATGTCAATTTTGTGAATGGTTTCGATTCTTTCCTCATATTTTTCAATGAATTTTCAAATTTCTTCGGGATCGTTCCAAGGACCCCTTAAAACGATGGACACTAATGACACGTAGATGTTTTATAATTTGTTCAATTCTCATGCAAGTTCTAAATATTTTTCTTACTCTTTCTTTCAATGTCCCTCTGTGCTTTGTCAAAATTCCAACATACACTGGCAGGTCTTTATTTCTTTGTTGTTGATGTCAAAATGCACTTTCTTAGTGTGAGTTGGAAAATCAGTTTGAATTTCAAAGTTCAAGATTTTTTCTTTGTTTTCAAATAACTTCTGGTTTGTACCTATATCATCTGTGTGCCCGGTCAAACCCCAATCCTTTGTACAATTCACAGTGGGTCACCGGTCCAAGCCATTTAATATTTATTAAATTCAATAATATGATTAATACCTGAGAGGAAAGCTACAGTCACTAGCTGTAGTTGCGGAGATCATATTGTTATAAGTACCATTATTATTATTATTATTATTATTATTATTATTATTATTATTGTTGTTGTTGATGTTGTTGTTGTTGTTTCTATAAGTATTAGAAGTAAAAGAATCTTAAGAGTAGACCATTTTTATAAAAAGTGAAAAATTAAACTTAAAAAGAAGAAAGCTTGAAATGCCGTGTAAAATCAGATAAAGTCAGAATAATTGAACGAAATACATTAAGTATAAAATAGAATCGAAGCAGACGATAGAAATGATAAGAACAAGAATGTGGTGAGGAGGACAAAAACAGAAGAAGCGAAGATAAAAGATCAAGAGTCAAATATGATTGAAAACAGAGAGAGAGAGAGAGAGAGAAAGAATGAGAGAGAGTGTGAGAGAGAGTGTGAGAGAGAGAAAAGAGACGAGATGATGAGAAGAGGAAAATAAAAGAAGAGGAAAAAGATTTTAAAAAACGAATTCTGGAGTTCATTTGCTTATCGTCAGAAGCGACAAAGATGGCGATGATGGAGAAGTCAAATATTTGTGATGTGGAAATGTAAAAAGCATCTTTGGCAAGATTTCAAAATCTGGCTCACCTTTTAAAGATGTTTTTTTTTAATAAAAAACAACGAAAAAACTTTCTTTATGATCTTTTCATCTACCCGTAAGTGTCATTTTCAATAAAACAAAATGCCGACACGAAATAAGTAATATTATTATTATTGTTTACTACGGGCTCACACACGTAGTAACTGCTGGCTTACACTGGAGATAAAGTGACAGAAAGTCCCCTCGTTTCCCCAGCATTCGTCTTAGCAATCTCGTTGTTTTCAGTAATAGTTAGTTCCAACGTCTCCCCTTTCGATATTGTCCAATCATTTTCCGAATCTTTTCGGGACCGTTCCCAGCGCTCCGTTAACGATTAGCACAACCGTTCTATATTATGTAATTTGACAATCCACAATTTCATTATCTTTCTGGAGCGTTCAAGATATTTCAGTTTTTTTACAAATCTACTCTGTGGTTTGTTCAAATAACGGAACCTTTCCTGGCTTCTATTTGTTTACAAAGACAGGGTTTGATCCTCTGACGTTCCTGAATTAGGTGATCCATTTGAGCTCGTGAGTATTTTATTTATTTCAGTATTCAAGATAAGATTTTGGTCTGTGTATAAAACATTGGTATATGTGTGTGTGTGTGTGTGTGTGTGTGTGTGTGTGTGTGTGTGTGTGATTAAAATGCAATCGCATGCACAGCTTTCAGTATATCAACTTCCCAATCACTTTTCTTGTATTTTTCTGGTTTCATTTTCCTAAATTTTACTCTGTGCATTTACCATTGGTCTGTGTGTTCAAACTGTAGGCGACAGTTTCTATTGGATTACCGCTCCCTCGTAGTCTTGCCTAATTTTTTGGGGGGGGGGCAATTTACTTTATTCAGTAATTATGTTTCAATTTCTCAGTTATTTCTAAACAGTTCACGTTTTCGGATTTATATATTTTCACCCTTATATAACTAATTCATTTTAGCCGTCCATAACAGCAGCTCAAAAACAATGTCATAAGATCCAATTATATAACAATGTCATAAGAAGCAATTATATAACAATGTCATAAAAAGCAATGCAGTTGAGGTTCCTTCTTAATTTGTTTCTCAGCCATGTCCATGTAGATTTACCTACCATTCCTTTGATTTGTCTTCTGTTGTGTTCACATAACGGTTTGTTTTACATTTTGGAGTTGGAATCTTTGTCTATTCTCGGTTTCTGTTCAAACTTCTCTTCGTTGTAGCGCATTTCTTTTTGGCTATTGTGATTTGTCTTTTCTTGAACTTGCTCTCGACATCACGTGGGAAACATTCCAATTACTTAATTAAATTTATGATGCGGAGAATAGTCTGTAATATTTTCTTATTTCCTTTCTGTGGCATTCTTTGCTGTTTTTCCCTTCATCTCTTTCACTTTCATTCACAGTCCCATTTGCAGTCCTCCTTTTCCTTGCATATACGGATGCTTTTTTCCCTCTTGACTTGTTCAAACTATTGTTATTGCACTGTGTTTTTCTATACATTTCCTCTATATTTCTCCTTTTTCCCGACAGTAATATTCCGTTCCTATGATAGCTGATGATTCTACCCACCCTTATCACTAGTCACATGTTCTTTTTTTCTTACAAAATATTTTAGGTTATCAATTTACATGAAGTGACTTCGTGAATCCTCCGTATATAATTCAGAGATAGCTATTTCGAATAACACTAGGTATAGTGAGTCCCCTGTGAATATTCCTCTGTTGTATTCTAACCGACGCTAGCTCCAGCGTCCAATTTTCTGCCCTCTTCGTTCACTATTCGTTGTGGATTTTTTAACGTATTTATGCATTCTATTATCGGGGGTTTTCGTAAAGTTTGTTCATACTAAGGCAAAATTATTTTTTCCATTAGCTTATGTTTAAGTCGCTATATAGCAAATCACTACTCCTTTTTTTTTGTTCCTCGAGTAATAGACCACAGCTTCCAAGATTTTTCATGATGTTTTAGAAATGTCCATATCATTAGTTAGTATGTTTTTTTTTCATAGCAGTTGAAAACATGTTATTGGTCGGTAGTTTTTTGGAATTGTTTCTTCCGTGACATTTTTTCTGGAACAGAGTAATTTTTCCTCATGTCATTCATTCAAGGATTGTTGCTTCTTAAAGGCATTCGCATAGCTGTCCCGTTAGTTTCTCATGAATATTTTGAATCGCTTCAAATAAAGTAATAAACTTCATAATGACTATATATATATATATATATATATATATATATATATATATATATATATATATACCTAGGAATTTTGCAAGGTTCTTTTACAGAGTTTCTATAGATATTTCAAAACTCTTGTTTTTCTTAGAGCCTTGGTTACATGTTTTTCAACCACTTGACATGTCTGTTTTGCTTTTATTTCTGTTTCTATACCTTACACCAGATTTTTTTTTGTTTCTGGAATTTGCGATGTGAACTTCACTCCTTATTTAACCATTCGTAAAATATTCTTTCAATGTTTTATTTTCTCTGTATTGATTGACTCGGTATTGCTATTTCTTTGGAGTGCATCCTTTAGACAGGTTCTTTTAGATCAATTCCACCACTTAATTTGCTTTTATTTTATGTTGATAATTTTTGTATTTATCCGTTGTTTCTTGCTAACGAAAATGTTTTGTTCTCCTCCTTTAGTCATACTGCTTCAATATTAGTTGCGGTTTTCTTATTGAAAACTTTCAACTCTGTCGACATTTCTGGCAATCACTCTACCATCAATATTTGTTTCACTTTTTCAGTCGATTTTTGACTTTTACAGGAAATTTATCAATTCTGTTACACCGTTATCCAATCTATTCATTGTACGCTATTTCTGTGGCATTACTCTTGTAATAACAACATACATCAAGATTTTGTCCTCTTTACACCATTCCTTTGTGTGGGTGGGGAGGGCTTCTTATAGACAAAATAGTATAGAAGGAGCATTCACCTAGAGAACACAATGGGAGTACATGCCGCTAGAATAGCTTCTAATCGCAGACTTATAATCAGGTCCGCCTGTTGGCTATCAAGGTAACCCCTGCCAATCATGAAGCTCAAACTTGTAAATGCTGCCCTGCATTTTGTAGTTATTATTTGATTGGTCATTGATTGGAACGGTATTTTGTAAATATTCCAGATCCAAAAGTGCTTTTCTTGTGCTTCCGACAGTCTCTCTGGTGGATTCAGATTGCATACATTACACTACAGACGACACGGTTAAAATTATCACCACCTTCACGTGTTAAATTCTCGGCTTTACCTAACGTCAAAACATTATTTAGTGCAAGAACAATTTCTCCCAGTTCCATTTCTTTTCCTCTTTTTACCTCGCTTGCCATGTTATAGACAGTTCACATCATTCTGTAGAAAGAAATATCACTTATTTCATCAGGAATTCTAACGTATTATACTCTCAGAATTAAATGACACCTACTTCCATTCCTGGCAGCTGACCAACAGCTTCATACTGCCAAACGTCAGTCCAGGATAAAGGATTTTAAATTAAGCATATAACACTTTTCCCTACTTCATTCTTTTATAATCTTCAATTCTCTACACTAGCCACATTGAAATCTTTTTTTCCGCTAACCATTTTGGGACCATTTCAAGATAGAATAGAAGGAAAGAAGTCATTTTCAGAAGAATTAGCGTAAGGGAAAAGATAAAATTATTAGTCTTCGCTGAATGTTCATTGAAAGTTAGGAAAAGTTTAAATTTAAGGATGTCTATTTCTCATCTTGAACTGTTCCTGTTCTGAGAATCAGTAATTCCACTTGGTTGGTCTAACCACTTAAGAACAATTGTAACTTGAAACCTAAAAGTTCAGGTTTATATTCTGATAAATCCGGTCTACAAGGAGAAGCGATGGGTTTTTCTTCCCTTTTCTCTTTCTTCAGCATGAAAAGCCAAGATTAAATTCCCCGATTAGAACCTCCTAAGAAGTAAAGCGACCGGAACTTTCTGACAATAACACGCTAAAATACTGACCATTAACGCTCAAACACTTAAAAGGTAAAGGCAAAATTCTAAACAAAAGGTAAAAGTATCACATTTCATGCATTGGGAATCGAAAATTTTATCTAATGGAATGAAAGTGTTTAGATCTCTACCTTATTTCTCAACTTAGGTCGTGTTCAGATTGTTAATATTATTATTATTATTATTATTATTATTATTATTATTATTATTGCCACTACTACTACTATTATTATTGTTGTTGCTGTTATTGTTAATTTTATTTTCTGCTTTTTAAACTGTTAGGATTTTCTACTTAACAGACTGTAATATCTTGTCTGGTCCGCAGCCATTTTGGAATCAGGCTTACTGACCGAGAAACTTGCATAGGAATATTAAGCAGAAAGAAACTGCAAAAAATAAAGGAAATATATCTATCTATGTACCTATGTATATATATATATATATATATATATATATATATATATATATATATATATATATATATATATATATATATATATTACAGTAGGGTTCACCCTGTATAGGGCCCGGTAGCCACTCGAGGTAGATGGCTACGTTAAGATAGTAGTTTATATGGATAGGAGGAGAAGATAAACGGCTAACTCCAGACTTGAACAGGTTAAGACTGTAGTGATCGGGGAGACATCTTCTTGGGAGTCTGTTCCACAGAACATTGGTTCGCGGGAAAAAGCTGCTTGAAGGGAACGAACTTCTCGCCCATGGAATACAGGGGGGATGTGGGTGGTTTGCTACTATGGAAGTGACTTGATGGATCCTAGTCATGAAGGTTAGGCTTGGCGGTACCAAGGAACGTAGTTCGTCTGATAAGTTTCCCTGTTAGTAGCGATAGAGGAGTAAGAGGCTCGCCACATCCCGTCTTTGAGAGAGAGAGCGGGGTTGCAGGGATGTGAATTAATTCTTCTCCAAGAAGGACTCGGAGACGCTTTTTGAACTCTATCAAGACTGGGCTCTTATAAAAGGTAGAGGGATAGCATGAGGGCGATACCTGCATGTTTAGCAATGGATCGTATATAAGACTTCAACTTGAGGTATATATATATATATATATATATATATATATATATATATATATATATGTGTGTGTGTGTGTGTGTGTGAAAAGAGAATATAAATATAAATAAATATATATATATATAATTATTTATATATTATATACTGCAGTACTTATTAGAAAGCGCTCAATATCAGAGATAGAGCTAACATATTTGGTTGGATAGATGTGAGTTTGTGACCCTGGGTTTCACGCTTTAGCGATCGTCAGACAAACTGATTAATGTTTTAAAAAATTTGGGTTTATGTAGATTGCGTGTATTGGTGTTATTGTGGAAGTGGTGGGGGAAATTTCGTCGTTTTGTCATTCATCGTACTAACGCAAACATCGATGTATGCAGACACATATACATATACATACTTGGTCGTCCGTCGGGACTCATACATATATATAAACATATGTAGACAGTTTCGGCTATGACACATGTATGTATACGGGTGGTGTTATGTCTATACATACGCATTTGTATGTTGAAATGTTGAAATTTAAACATTGGAAGTGTGGCGGAAATGTTTCGTCATTGTCTCGTGAATGTATCCATGTCATATTATGAATTTTTTTTTTTTTTTTTTTCCGTTGAAAAATATTTGAAAAATATTTTCTCGCATGTATGTATATATGTGTGGTGGGGTTTGTGTAAAATTATGATAGGTAAAAATTATTATTATAATTATTTATATTTATTTTTAAATTTTTGAAAAAAATGGGGGTTTATTTGTTATATTTAAAGCTGGTTATTTGTTTGTTTTTGGTGACTGTGTATATGTAACAGGTAAAAAATTGTAATTATTATTAGTTTCTTTGATTTATGTTGTATACACATTTCTTTCCGTGTCCCAACCAGAAACCTAAGATTACAAATAGCTTCATATTTTCCACTGATCATTTTTGTAAAGAAATAAATAAAACCACAACCATTTTACATCGATAAAGCTCTTCGTGGTGTGTGAGTAGTATTTGTTAGTACAGTTTTTTTTTTTATTCTTAAGGCATAGGCTATTAAGAAAAATTTGCAAGATCCTATCTGAAAATCGGGGAAGAGGAGTGTGTTGCACCTCTAATAACTGACGCAGTTGGAATTATCGCAAGGCCACTTGTGGTATCATTGGCAGAACTAAATGTTCTAAAATTGTTAGACAACAGTGTAAGGAAACTAATGTAGAAATAATAGGCTATAGATGAAGAAAAGAACTAAGAAAAAAGGAAGTGAAAGTAGAGAAAATATTTCTTAAGTCTATGAATGGCGCATTCGTGCTAGTGTAGGTGCAATTATTACTAGTTGTAATAGAAATAGAAGTGTTAAATGAGAGTTGATTGTTGCAATCTAATCATCAGAATACTAAGAACAGATTTATGGAACAGAGACTAACACCTGAAATAATTCACGAAGTGACTATGAGGAAGTTGGCGCCAATATTATGGCGTATGCTCCAGATTAGAAGAAAGTTGCTCTCATTCTTTGTCTTGAAAATAAAAACAATTTCGTTTGCTCTTGGAATTCTAAAAAACTAGAATGACGTGTCTTGAAATCCTCACAGTCTTTCTAGTATTGTTAAATTTATCGTTAACATTTTTGTCAAGATTTACAAACTCTACATTTCTTTCAATTTCGCAAATCAATCGATGAAATTTGAATAAACTGATTTGTTTGGAAAAATACTTTGGGGTTTAATAATTTATTTAATTTAATCTAATTTTATAAGACTTTTTGATAAACAATATTTTGAAGAAAATTTTCTTTTTTTTTCCTTTTTAACAGCGAAGAATAAATACTTAGTATGTCTTACTCTTGAGCATGCAACATACAACTGCCAATGCGTAAATATTTTTCTGGAGTCAAATTCCAACTTTTTGAAGCGTTTGGTCTTGTAAATTGTTTATGGTTCTCGCAAACTCAGAGCGAACTGAAAACTATAAAGTTATTGCATTTTTATTATAAAAAGTATTTGTTATTTTAATCATTAAATTGTTTTTGTTTTTTGTTATTGTTTTTTTAAGTGGGAGTATTTTATATGTTAAATAACAACATTTTTAAAACAAATTAATGAAAATTTATTGTACTAAGCTACCCAGCCAAGTAAAATCAACTATACATTATACCCTCTTAGCTGTTTGCACTTCTTCCCAAAATGTGATTCCGATCAGTCAATGTATGGTTATGTTAGAGAGTATGACGGACGGGCTAATGGAAATCAGAGAATTCTATATATAGATAAACAGATTTCTTTTTTCATAATTCATGATTGTTGCAATCAAGGCAATGATACCCCAATCAAGGCAATAAAGCCACTAAGACACAAATGGTTACTGAGTGTGAGAGAATATGAGGAAAAACTCTTTTGTGAAGAGATAAAATAAAATGATAGAACAGAAATTAAAAAGGCAGACGATAACGATTGATACTGCATTTAAAATTTGCAGATCAAAGCAAGAAGCCAGAAGAGAGCTCCACAAGCGAGAAGTGCAAGAGAAGAAGCTGTTTGCATAGAACTTACGGTTACATAAAAGAAGTAGACATTACCGCCAATCTCGTAGCGTGCTTAAATTCATAAAGACTAAGTATCGAAAAGGAAAGTTCATCAAAACAATTACCATGAAAGTATTTATAGAAAAGACAGTAAAGCTATCTCACGGCGGTAGTAAAATGACTGAAACTGAGATACTAGGGCAGGATCAATAACATTGCAGATTCTGCTTTATATTTTTCAAAAATCTCTAAATATATAGCAGATGTGGTTTCAATATTCAAAGCATAGATGAATGGTAGTCTTATAAATATGTAAGATAGATTCTGACGTAAACAATTGTATAGTACAACATAGTGAACCAAATTTCTAACAGTATATTTAGCAATTGATTCAGTATTATCTATCTACGTCATGTCAGCGGAAAACGTTAATCCTAGAAGTCGCAATGGAGGTTAGGTACAGTCATGCCGATGGAAGGCAATAAGACTTGGAGATGAATTGTCTAATCCACGATGCTCAGAGGATCAAATGCTGTAGTTGTCAACAAGAACACAAAAAGGAAACTTGTAAGAAAAGTGTGATAGATAAATATCTTTCTAGAAATATAATGAAATTGTGGATTATCAAATTACATAATAGGGAACGGTCATGCCAGTCATCACTGGAGTGCTGGGAATACAGTAGATAGATAGATAGATAGATAGATAGATAGATAGATAGATAGATAGATAGATACTAGGAAACTGGTTGAACAAGCTGCGAATTAGAAATAAGAAAAACTGAAAAGTAGTAAATTGCCGTTATTGGGACCCAAACACAAGCTAGTATCCTTATCTTCATTATTTCAGATGTTCATTAATCCGATCGAGTTTTGTCTGAAGTTCTGAGATTAATTATAAGCATTATTCCGTTTATAATTAGAATTAATATTTTTGTTTGATCAAATTGTTTCATTCGATTAATGAAATGTTTTCCGATAAAAATGATAATGTTTTTGGTTACTTTCTAATTATTCAGTGCTTTACTAGATTTCCTGGCATCACTGTCACATGTCGTTCTTCATTTTCAATTATAAATTCGGATTTCCACAATCATTAACATCACTCTCACTCTCATGAGATGCAATGTCAATTTTGAAATGGATTTCTACATTTCCAGTGTTAGTGTTTGTGTGCATTTGTATATAACTTGTGTTTATTTTATAAAGAAATGACTGAAATGTTCTTAGCCTAACCATCTTCCCCAAATTTGACCAAATGATCAATTAAAATTTTGGGGTAGAAGTGATTCTTCGTTGGATCAAGAGCTCTTTGGCAAGCCTTTTTTTTTTTAACTCGATATCAACCCAAGCAAGGCGATAAAGCCACTAAAATGCAAGAGGTTACATACAGGATGTGGAAGAATTAGGAACAGAAACATTAATAATGGACAGGAAGAGGAAACAGGAAACAGGAAACAGGAGGACAGTAGATAGCGATTGACATTGCAATCAAATTTTTGCAGATTGAAGTCGGCTGGAAAACATGAAGCCGGAAGGGGAGTTTCACAAGTGAGAAGTACCAGAAAAGAATTTAGTTACATCTACCCAGCTCAACTGTAAGTTGATAAGATCTTCACGCCAGTCTAGTAAAAAGGCCTAGGTACCATAGCAAAGAACTCATCCGATCAATTACCATGAAAGTAATTTTTTAAAAATCGGAGAAGCAACCTTGATGCGGTAGGAAAAGTGACTGAAACCGAGATGCCAGATCAGGACCAATAATATTGCTGAATTTTCTTTAGATTCTATCAAGGAGTTCAAGCGAAATAGCAGAGGCACCGGACCATATATGCCAGCAATATTCTAAGCATGGACGAATGGAACGAATGGAAGACTTATATATATGCAAGAGAGATTCTAATTAGAAAAAATTGTCTCGCATGACACAGTTAACCAACTTTCTTAACAGCAATGGATTCAATATAGTGTTTCCAATTCATGTCAGTTGAGAACGTTAGCTCAAGAAGGCGAAACAAGTCACTGTCCTGAAGGTTAGCATCAGCCATGCTGATGGAAAGCAGAGAGGGCACCCACAGATGAATATGGAGAGAAGTTTACTTTTGGAAGATCAAACATGCCATCTTTTGCTCTAGTTAAAGACGTTTTGGACATCAGCTACCACTGTAACCTTATTGGACAGATTAGCGTTACAATCAGAGTAAATTATATATAATTATTGTTGTAATACATGTGGAGATATCACTATATATATATATATATATATATATATATATATATATATATATATATATATATATAAAGAGAGAGAGATTGACTTGTTTATATATTTAGAAGACACAGGAAAAGGAACTACAGGTGTTCCTACAGAAAGTAGTAAATAAAAGAAACAAGAAATGACTGAACATCAATTGTATCAAGACAAAAGCTTAGGTCGTCAACGAAAGGAACAAGTCAAAATGAGAACTACAAATTGGAGATGCAAAAATCAATTACTAAACTGTAAATATCTAGGAAGTGTTTAATAGATGACGGAAAATACGAGACCGTAATCTGCCGGCATTTTGGAATAGCGAGAGTTTTCATCCAAAAGTTAAGCAAAATATTAAGAAAAAAGAAAATTTCTTAGGAACAATCAAAAGAGTACTGAATGCTGAAAATCCACTGGACTGAACATGTGACTAATGATGAAGTTTTACTGAAAATAGAAACAAATGGGCACTTATACATAAAATTCAGAAAGAAACAATTGAAATTTCTAGGTCGCATAATGAAGAAAGGGGGCTTGGAGAATTGAACACCGACAGGACATATTGAAAACTAGACAGAGTGAAGAAATCAGCGAATAACCTGTCTACTGAGGTCTTGTAAATGCTTAACAGAACAGCGATTAGGAGTAATTGCAAAAAGACAAACCATACTAAGATCTACAAAGAACAGGAAGTTGTGAAGAGTTATGGTCGCCCACGTTCTAAAGGGTCACAACACATCGAAGAAGATTATATTTTTAGGAGGGTAGATGTATAATTCATTTATCTGACAGATTTTTAATACAGAAAATGAAATAATTATTGTTGTAAAATAAATGCGTTTGTCACCATTGTTCTACAAACTAGGACTGACTGTAGCTATTAGATATATTTAAGCATATACAAACATTCATACTCATAGATAAATTTAAGTTTATCCCACGTGTATGTCATCCTCATTGCCTCATTTGCATCCTACTAAAAGTCTTTTTTTAAAATGGCAAGCAGAAGATTTCTCTAGCAAGTTATGCAAAACGAATATATCGTAAAAACTTATTTGCAACAATGTCGATTTGGTTAAAGTGATTCCATTCGTAGTTTACACAGTATTAGTAAAATACATGTCTATTTTGTTCATTGACTTCCTTCATAATACTATCAATGAAATATATCACTTCATAGTCATATTTAATTATTTTAAGACACACGGAATATTTTTGTGGACGATGCTGGAATTGAGCGCACAATTACAATTTATATATCCTTGATAGATAGATAGATAGATAGATAGATAGATAGATAGCAGTGTATGGAAAATAGGTCTATAGTGCGAATTATGATTAAATCTGCTTTTGTACATTTCGAATTAAGTCTTCGGAGGAAAGGCCTGGTTCTAATTATCCATTTTCTTTGTCCATAGCCAAGAATCTTGACATGTGACTATAGTTAAGAGATAAGAGAGTAAATGATGGACTATTAGTCAGTCCTCTTCACCTTAACATATTTATATGTGTCCTGACCTCACGGCGGAGCTTGGAATACGCCAACTACATCTGGTGGGTATAACCTTACTCAAATATAAGCGACTAATATTTATCCCAGAACCAAGTCAATGCTTATAGACTCAAACTTAATCGATCAATATTTACCTCTGCTAGAACCTATTAAATGCTTATAGGCTCAACTATAAGCAACTAATATTTAACTATCCTAGAACCAAGTAAATACTTATAGTTTCTATTATAAGCAACTAATATTTAACTAGACTCAACTATAAACCACCAATATTTACCTACTCCAAACAAATTAAATGCATATAGACTCAGATATTTACTCACCCCTGAAACATGTAAATACTTTTTACACAAAATTGTTCGAACTGTTATTCTCATCTTTGTTGTCATATTCACGGCTGCTGTACGCTCAGGCCTTCTTCAGGTGTTTATAATTTCGAACCGCACCTTTTATTTCATCAACCGGGTTAGATTGTTCTAGTTCTCCATGTCATGCCTCCTCAGAATATCTCAGTTTCTGATAATCCCCTTTAGTAACTCAACTCTCCAAGTGTTTGTTCCCCTCTACTGTGACCTGGTATTGAACTCACAACTCTTTGGGTCAACTCACTGGATTACTTCTATCAATGCTTTTATTCACTGGGCTATGTCTTCAAAATTTCAAACAGCTGAAGAAGGCTGAAGCGTACAACGACGGAAACATCGTGAATATGACAACAAAGATGAGGACAACAATCCGAACAATGTAAATAGTATAAATAGTTACAATACCTCATCTCAGAAATAGAGACAGATGTTGAAGGTGAATATGGCAATAAAGATGAGGACAAAAGTCTGAACAATGTAAAAAGTGTAAATAGTTACAATACCTCATCTGAGAAATAGAGACAAATGTAAATGCTTAAAGATAACCAAAATATACCCATTCTTATTGATTCAAATATCATTTTAAAAAAGTCGCGTACCCACTAAACGTAAAATTTATACTAAAAACAACTAATGTCGGATTAAGAGCGTCATTAGCTGCATAAAAATGATATATTTATAGATATATACACATACACAGGGGTTCACAAAGGCATATATGTATATGTGTATATCTTTCCTCTTCTTTTATGCGCCGTGTCCCTTCAGGACGTAGGCGATCATGGCTATCCGTTTCCTCCTGTTTCTTGTAGCTCTCAATAAACTTTGACATTTTGTTATTTCTCCCAGACCCCGTTCTGCCATCCACTTGCCCGTTAAGTCACGCGTTGTCTTCCCTTGTCGTCTATCCCTCCTGTGAGTATCAGATTTTCCATGCTCTCCTTTCTCATTAAGTATCCCAGAAATTTCAGTTGCCTCTTCCTGATGTTAAGTATGAGTTTCTTTTTTGTTTGCCTCCCCTCCAAAACTTCATCGTTGCTCACATGCTCGGTCCATGGTATCTTCAGCATCCTTCTGTAGAACCACACCTCTGTTGCCTCAAGTCTCTTCTTCATCTTTGAGGAGACTGTCCAACATTCGCTGCCGTAAAGGAGGACAGATATCACGTAGCAGTTCAGTACTCTTTTTGCCTTTGTTACCAACGAAATCCTCCTGTCTAGTAATAGTCTGCCTAGCTTTTAAAATGCATATTTGGCCATCCCAATAGGTCTTCGTATCTCAACGTCGCACTTACCGTCCTCTGTCAGAACATTTCCCAGATATTTAAATTTCTGCACCTGCTTGATTTTAGTGTCCCCCGACCTGTAAATCGCATTACGGGCTCATCTTTTTTTTCTGATGAACTTGCATTCTGTCTTCTTGTTGTTGATGCTTAGTCCTTTCTTCTTGCTCTCCTTCGCTGCCTCTTTTAAGAGATTTTGTAGTTTCCTTTCCGTGTCTACTATCAGCACAGTTTCATCTGTGTATTTTATGTTGTTAAGATTGTGGCCGCCAATGATGAATTGGCTCGCTGTGTAGATGTGTATATACAAACTGCAATATCTATCGATAGTAATTGAAAAGAACCCAACCCTCCCAGGCAAAACATGTAGCTCTTTCTTACCTTTGACTGAAAAATTTCATCAATGTGCCAGATAATAAAGCTAACGGTGCATTGTTTCGTGAGTATATCATTCCAGGTACGTTCTAGAGTTGTCTGTGTTTGCTGGATGGCGTTGTACGAAATTTAGTGAGGTCTGCAACTCAAAGGAGTATAAATAGGCGATGAGAGACACCAGTTTCGTGTCACCCTCGCACTAAGTTTTGCTTTTATTTTGCTGGGACAAACGAGCATAACGGACGCAAATAAACGTGAGATAAGGAGCTAATTTTAAGAATGGCGAAAGTTTTGATAGTGGTCCTTGCGCATGTCAATTGAATATATACCGATATTATAAGAGAACGACAACCAACTTGCACAACACCATGTTGAAAGTAATTACCAGACATGAAATTGAATATTTACCTTCGACTCGCCCAGTTAGACGTCGCTGGTTTTCCAGTCTTGTAACACTATAATCGATATAATGGCGTCAAATGGGTTTCGGATGTTTAAGAAATCTCATGGATACACACTGTACAGTGCGTTCTACTGGAATGGGATTTGCTACAACTTTCCTCTCTGTTTGGTGATTAACCTTCTTGCCAGTCGCCACACACCAGATTTTAGGATATCAGGGTAACTTCCCCGGGATAACTCTCCCCCGGACAATTGCCACCTGGTCAATTGACCCCATAGGACAACTGCTCCCCGGAAAATTTCCCCCATTAAGAAAAAATTAAAAGAAAACACTTTAGGCTGTGGATACTAATAAAACTAATTAGCGTCTTATTTTGATGTTTTATCTGTTTTCCCATAAGTATTATCCAATAAGATTTATATTTCTATATCACTAGAATTATACAACTAAAATTGCAAATTGTGGGCTATACGCAAATACAATAATTAATATTTACACAATTAATAACTGTCTGGTTTAAATAATGTTTATAAAAAATAATTACAATAATCAATTCTCACATTTTATGTTGGGTGAAGGAACATTTCAAGTTGTACCTGAATTTTTT